CCTTGCTTGCCCAGCGACTGCCAGAAGGACTTCACAGACCAGGCTCTGCTGATGGCTTATCTATGATGACACACCACCTTCAGCTCTGTCCCTAGCATCATGACTAGCTTCATCTTTCTATTATTCTGTGGTGAAAGAAGCAAGAAACTGATCACTTTACAAAGTGGACTTTTATTCTTCCCAGTCTCCTAGGGAGGTGGACGCTACAGTAACACCACCAACCAAATCCCAGTGAAGGTGTTTAGCTCTTTTCTCCAAGAAAAGCTAGCAGCATTCATAAAATCTGCCAAACAATGAATTTCAAAGTTAGTAAATCCCATAGCTTGTGACGAATGCCAACATACCCAAGAAAACACCACAGGATAATAATAGCAATAAGCAAAGGATACTAGCTTTATTGATCAAATCAGATATTACAAATCTTTCATTACTACAGCATCCTCAGAATCTCATCTCCAAAACCTCTAGGGTAGGAACTGCTAGTTCTATTTTAGAGATAGGGAACTGAAACAAAGAAAAGCCATTCCAGACAATTTCTGTAAAACAGGCTCTGCTGCTTTCTGTGGATGCTTTGCTCTCCATAGCCACCCAAGGGAGCACAGGTACCTAACATTCAGATGGGTAAAATTTTAAGTTAAATTTCTTTCTGAGGCCTACTCACTTAGACCTCAAAACAGTACCTCTTTTGCTGTATTTCACTGTTGAGCAATCACTTCAGGGCACGACAAGGATGACGTGACTCGAAGTGTATCAAAAAGCATACCAACCAATCCTTGTCCAACACACCTGGGCTAGGGGAGATGAGTCTTCCTTTACCCTTGGTTTCTCCACCATGCCTTTTCATTTTCCTATTAGAATTCGATGGTAAACATGAAATACCAAAATTCTTACACCACAATTTGAGGCCAAGTTGTGTCAAAGCACATAAATCAAAGCATGGTTTCCTAGAGAACTCACAGTCTAGGGTCCTGACACCACTGAACATGAGGTTAAAGGGGTTGGAGGAAAAGAAGTGAGGCACAGAAAGGCTCTGTTAAAACCGGTCACATGAACAGAGAGAGGGTCAAATTTAGGGGAAAAAAAAAGTGCCTTTATCTTTGAATTTATATTTGATTTTTCTTTAGTTTGAGCCAATAGATATGACCTAGAGAAGTATTTCCACTAAAAGATTTGCCCTGTGACACCACTTTGGTGAGACAGAAAGTCCTACTCTCACAAGTAAAAACCCTTAAGATGTGCTGGAGAATGGGAATGTACCCAGCTACCAATATCCATGAATGGATCTGCTTGCATTCCCAGACACCATACACAAAATGAAATCAGTAAGTTGTTATATAAATGTTTCATTAAATACCTTTTCCCTTGTTTATAACTCACAGAAGCATCTAAAGTAAATATTACAAAATTAATGAAAAGAACCGATTTTTATGACAATTGAATAAATGCTATGCTAGTTATGGGAATGATGCTGATGCCAATGTGCACACATGTATTTTCCTCCCGCAAAAAAAAAAAAACAAAAACCAAACAATCAATCAAAGCATTACGTAATATCTGTTTTGTCCATTTGTCTCCAAGTTGTCACTTGCTAAGATCTGAATGAGTAGAAATCTAAACAAGCAGATTAAAGAAAAATCTGTAAATACCTGTTATACTGCTGCTTGCTATAACCATTTTCAAGTTGTTTCTCTCATCTCTTTCAGAATATATAAATGGCTGCATCTAATGCAATACAAAAAATACATAAAAATGAAGCTTTTTTTCCTACCAGTAAAATAATGTAAAGGAATAGCAATGCAAGCAGTGCATTCTCCAGCCTTTGGAAGTCAGCAGGAGTCACTCACTGGGACCACGAGGACCAGCTTAGGTCCTGAAGAAGTGAAGCTAGTGGGAAGTTCTCCCATCTCTTCCTGTAACGCAAATGCATGATTGCCTCCCTTATGAGGAAAATAGCAGTGTCTGATCAAAAGCTTTGAAATGGAGACCAGTATAAATGATACAGACCTCGCTGGATAATCAGAAAAGTTTCTATGACTGTGAAAGATTCGAATTGAAGTCTTGCAGGGCAAAATGTGGGACACATTACAGCTGTTATACAGAGCCATGTCAAGAGTGCCTCTGAATACTTGTTCTTCCACTATCCCCAAGTGAACTGGTCTTCTAAGGATTTAAAATAACAAGGAAAAAAAAAACAACAAAAAACACAAAAAACCCCACCCCCACACACACAAAAAACACAACCCAAACTCAAAAAACAAAGCTGATCTGAAAATATGAAACAGGCCTCCTCTGACCTCATGAAGCTCTCCAAGAACTTTAGAAAGAAAAAAAAGAAAATCTTTAAAAATTTTAGACAATAAATTCTTGGCAGTGGGGATGGGATGGCTAACTTGCCCCAGATGTTACTTTGGGGTTTTGCTGTTTGTAACTGCTGGAGTGGATTTACCTCCAGAGTTTTCCTACTGAAGTTCTTGCTTCACTAGGAACACCCTTCACATACATGAACTAAATTACCTGAAGAAGCCTGCATTATCCGCATGTCCATCATCCATGTGGCCATCCTCCTCACATCATCGCAAACAACCCAAATTAGAATGCTGTAATAATCATGCTGGACTCTATAGACATACGGAAAAGATGATGTACACTGACAACAAAAGAACATGAACAAAATGGCTAAGATGGAGGACTGATGCGTCTAGAAACAGAATCTTCTCTAGTTCTCAAAGCTAATCAGTGACAGGAAAGGAGAAATGCTACTTTCCCTCCTCCTTATTCATGACAACCATTCCTCCGCTGTACAATGGTTCTTATTCAGAGATTCATAGGGACTCCGCAGATCAACTTTTACTGAGTTTATTATTCATGTTTCCTCTCTGCCATTCAAGACCATGAAGGAATGCAGCCACCACACCGGTCAATCTTCATTCCAAGCTATTAAAAAAATCTTGCACATTATCACCTTTCTCAGCCACTACTGTTCAGATGTGATGGCTGAGATCACCGCTGATCTATGAGGAAGTAGTTTTAGTCAATCATTTTTATGAGCCACGCTGCTACTGTCTTCTGAGCTGTCCAAACCCATGTCTCAAGAGCCACAGGCTGGGAGCATCACTGCAAGTATATATAACAAGGATTTTCTTTAAGTTACAACTGTATGCACTAATCTTTTCTTGGGTTTTTCTTGGGTTTGCAAGAGATGGCAAAGACATGTCTCAGCAAAGCTGCAGTAGCCACAGCATACCACATCCAGCCTCTGTGAATACACCTGATCAACTGAAGCAACCGAAAACACTTGTAACTGTGCTGCTGCTCTCTATTTTCTCCGGCATAGACCCTCCTCTTGCACCATTCATGCTGGGGGCATGGGGGGTGGGGGAGTGGGTCCAGGACACAGTTCCACAAGCTCTACCAGCTCTGACAATGACCTGTGCCCTGGTGGCATGTCCATTTACAGGATAGACTTTCCACATATCCTATAGTCTGCCCTTCCATGTCTTTTATCTTCTGTCTTTTCACGATGTTCACCTTCTGTAAACCACCTTTTCTATGCAGCTAAAATAAAACAGTTACAATGGTGATGGCTTGTTATAGGAGATCTGAAAGCAAAAATGTGTGTTGTCAAAGGTAGTCCTAGTGATGATAACCATAAAAGCCATCATCGGAACAAATACTAATAATGCTAGTAGTAATGACCTGAGTAAAAATTCTTTTGCAAGTAAGTTCTCCCTAGTGCTATTACAGCTCTGAATAACGTCTGGTCCAGCCTGTTTGTATAGGAGCCCATCCTCCCTACAGCAATCCATATGCTTTAAAAGTGCCTTCTTGTAGGAAACTAATACCCCAGTGTTCGTTTTATGCTCTAGGGGAAGACCTCTCTGCTGGATGATCTAAGATCCAAGTAATTTTCTGCAACCTCTAGAGAGGGAGCCAGACATCTCTGCTCCCAGTTTAGATACATCGGTGCTGGTAGGATGACACCAGTCCTAACGCAGATGAACCCACAACAAGGAGAAGTCCAAGCAAGAAGGCTCCAGTTTGCATCAATACACGTGATTGGTGCTTGGGACAGTAGCACACTTTGATGAAAAGCTGTGCCTGAACACCAGTAAATAGCTCTGATGAAAGCACTGCAAATATCACAACATGTAATCAAGTGCATAAATAATTTGTTATACAACAGACCTTGTTAAAAAACAAATCAGTTGATTATTAGTAATAACTATGTATATTGCAGCATCTTATCCCTGGAGGCCTCAAAAGAGGTCAGTTGTGCTGAGCACAGAACACTGCTAAAAAGCAAATCTGCCACAATATTTGGGCATCTGAAACTAGAATAAAAGAGGGCTATACAAGTCACTTTATAAAAAAAGTAAGAATAAGTACCAACAATACAACAGGCATGAAACTCATTTAGTGAACAACTTTATCAGATACACAGCAACAAAGAATGCCTCATTATTCCCCCTAAAACATATCAAACCTGACTTTTCATTTTCCAATAATAAACACTGAACATTTGCAAAATAATTATTTCCTCTTATATTTTCCTTCCCATTCCAGATGCTGCTGGTTTGCAAAGACAGAGCAGGCAATGCAGATCTGCATGCAGACCAGCTAAGATAGACCAGCTCTTTCACTCAATTTTTTCTTCTTGCTTTACATAATATCAACAAATGAGATCAGTATCAGATCTGCATTTACAGAAATACGTCGTCCTATCTCGTGTGCTTGTTCCTGTGTCAAGAAACTTAAAGCTAGGCATTGGAAAAATAATGACTGCCTCACACTTCTTTTTTTTTTAATATAAATGGGGCTCCTAAATAATTTTTACTTCTACATTTACATTATAATCATGGATTCAGGGAATTAGAGAGCCAAGCAACACAGCATCAAAAATGTAACAACCATACGGCTTCCTTCTGTGTATTTAGGGGATAAACAATTAAACTTCTTTTGCTCAGCAAAACCACATGGAAAAAAAAAAAGGGTCTACTTACACTGTACAATGAGCTGTACCAAAGCTTCTCTGGGCTTCACATTAAACCCATTATACTGGCTGGTCTGGCACCTGTAGGTTCCTGTCATTTCCCTGGACACGTTCACTATCCTCAGGATCCCATCGTAGCTCTCTGTTTGCATTGCTCCATCCGGCATCACAACTTCCTTGTCTGCTCGGGACCAGAGAATGATGGGCTTGGGCTTCCCTGTCACCTGGCACTGCAGCTCGATCGTGTCCCCTTCCCGGGTGACCAGGGGTGACTTTTCTTGAGGAACAGTCAAATTGGGTGGGACTTTGAAGGAAAAAAAACAGACGGTTCAACAATTAGCATTGCAGAGACATCAGGTGGCTTTCTTGCTTGTTACAGTCATAGCTGCATATCAAGAAGTAGTTTATACACAGACAGCATACGTTGACTACATAGAATGACAGATTGTTTTGATTTGGAAGGGACCTTAAAGATCATCTAGTTCCAACTCCCTGCCATGGGCAGGGACACCTTATAGTAGACCAGGCTTCTCAAAGCCCTGTCCAACCTGACATACATTGGAAGACTGTGCAATGCTACTATATTTATGAGACAAGGTTTTCAGCTGCTTGAAGTTGTTCAAGTAAGATTCATCAATCCCAGCTACGAAACATACTTACCTCCTTGTGTGTTTCAGATATGTCATTATATATGCCAATATGCCATTACAGTGTACATCAGCACATTTGGATCACTGGTCACAACTAGCCCTTTGTCACTGTAAGCTACAGCTTTCCTTTTTATTAGCATTTGGCACTAAAACCCTTTTCCAATAACAGACTGCTTGCTGATTTTATCCAGCCTGTAATGGCCACGTAATGGGGAAGAATCATACTAATTCAGAAATCAGTTCAGAATTCAAAACCTGAAACCAAAACACAGTTGGCAACAGGAGGTTTATCAAAGTGGTGATTTCTTTTCAGAGATTTGCATTAAGAAATCCAGCTGGACATGTGAACAACTGCTTTCAGCAAAAGTTAGACACCCCCTTGGAGCATGAATACCTGGCACTGCTGCACAGTCAGCTGGTGATGCCCAAGGACCCATCCTTTCTGATCTCCGCAGTCTTGCAAGAGCAAGACTTTTAATTGCCCCACTGCCTCTTGAACTATCAGCCACAGCTCTGAACTGCCAGTCCTCAGCACTGAGTAAAGCTTACTCCCCAGGGAAGAGACACTGCTGTGCAAAGGCAGAAATGTCACGGGACCATGGCAAAAGCCTGAAGTGCATCACAGTGAGCTTCCACCACTGGTCTCATCAGAGGTGGCCCCTCTGCCTCAGCCTTTAGGTAACAGCTTTCAAGAATTAGAGAACACTGCAAGCTGTGCCGGCCTGATGAGAATGGTTTTGCCATGTCTAATTATCGTTCCCATCTCATCATACCTGTATGTCCTGGGTTTAGCAGTAGCAGTCATTTTTTCTCCTTCTTAGTAGCTGGTGCAGTGCTGTGTTTTTGACTTTCAGCCTGGGAACAGAGCTGATAACACTGATGTTTTTAGTTACTGCTCAAATGTTTAGACTGGCCAAGGACTTTGTGAGTCACATGCTCTGCCAGGGAGGAGGGGAAGCAGGGAGGAAGCAGAGACAGGACACCTGACCCAAACTAGCCAAAGAGGTATTCCATACCACAGCACGTAGGTAACTGGGAGTTACCCAGAAGGGTGCTCTCTTCTCAGTTTGGCTCATTCCGCTGGGTGGTATCGTATTCTCTTCCCTTGTTATTTCTCTTAACATTATTATTATTGGTGGTAGCAGTAGTGATTTGTGTTACTAAACTGTTTTTATCTCAACCCGTGGGAGTTACATTCTTTCGATTCTCCTCCCCATCCCTCTGGGAGCGGGGGTGGGGTGGGAAGGGGGGAGGGGAGGAAGCAAAGAAAGGTGAGGGGGCAGCAGAAACTGTGTGGCTGACTGGGTTTAAAACACAACACTATATTAGATTTACAGCCAATTTCGTACTCCTCAGTGCAACACAAACAGAAGTGCTGTCTCTGAAGCTGCTTGTCTCTAGATCACACATGGTGCCTTTGGCACCATCGACCCTTACTTAAGGGGGTACAAGCTGTTGTGAGGTGGGTAAAAATGTGGGGAAGGATGATGTAAACATTGCCCACCATCTCTTGCCTTTTGTGCCTTCTGAAAACTCAGCTGTCATGGGTCTTTGTTCTGAATCACAGGGAAAGATGCTTTCTGCTTTAAAGCATTCCTTCACAGGAGCATTACCTCTCAACACTGTCTTGCCCTCAACTACTTTGCTTGAATGCCAAGACTGACAAAATACAGCCTGCACTGTACTTCCTGTCTACAGGCAAAAATAATCAGAAGCTATTTTCAGGCCCCCAGACACAGAAACCACAGACTCATACCAGTGAGAAATAGTTCCAGTTTTCCATTGAGATTTATCTTGTGTCTATAGACCTGACAAGTCTGCTAGGAATCAAAGCTTAAACCAGGGACTTTCATAGGTACCAAAATGCTGTTCTCAGCTGTTTTGAAGGCATTAGTAGCTCCTCCTGAATCTGGTGGGACATGTAAAAGCTGAAATAATTTTTTCCACAGGACAGTAAATGAAAAATTATTTTATAATTCAAATAAAAGAAGAAAAAAAGAAGAAAAGACTGCTTAATAAAACATTCCCTAAATTAATAAAACATTCTTATTTTTCACTTATGCCTGTATGTGTCATAGCAGGTCCTTAGCACAGGCCAGGGCCCAGGGAACATGGATGTGACAGAGGGATCAGATGAAGGCTGCTCTCTGGCTTTCTGAGCTTTTCTGACTGCACTTCTCCACAGGTGCGTGCACCTTCCTCTCCCTCATTTCTAAATCCCATACTTTTGCTGTGCAGTACATTGTGCTCGTGCTGGACCTGCACCAGCCAAGTGCTTGTGATGGGAATTCTGAAAGTGCGCACATCAAGTAGATACCAAAGGGCCACTTTCTAAAGCAATGTTCTATGAAAACACAGGCTAACCTGGGAAAAAGGTATTGTTCCAAGAATAAAAATACAGTTTAGAGAGAAAAGTTTGAAAAGACACCGTGCAGTGCCTGTCTGCGGGAAAGAGCCTCCTTTCTGAGCATTTTCTTTTCCAGCTCATCTGGCTTGTGGGTTTTCAGTTTAGTTTAAATACTACAAAGCCTGGTCTGGGGCAGTAAAACACACATTTACTTTGTCCATCCACTACTGGGCAGTGTACCTGCTCCCTGCTGTGCACGTGCTTTAATTAAAGCGTGTCCAGTTGGTACAGATGCTGCAGGCTCCCTCGTAGCTCTCCTCTCACCCCTGCCACTCCGGCACTTCCAGCTCCCTGGGAAGCACAACCTTCTCCTGGCTCAGGGATTCACTGACTATGAGGACCCTGAGGCCATGACACAGGGTCACAGCCTTCAAACAAAATACCTGCTATCAAGAGGGAAAAGGTGTGCTATCTGCTCTGTGCCAACCTACACTGCTACCTACCGGTCTGCTTGCAAACCCATGGTCCAGATGGGTCCAAGACATGAGTTTCCCTTTCACATGAATGTTTGTGTAGATCTGTTTCTGGACATGTTGTGCTGGCAGCCTATTTCAGACTCCATCTTTTCCAGACAGACATCAGAGCAGGAGGTCTGGATTACAAAATCACACCCTGTCTTAGCCTCAGAAATCACCCACTTTCTGGATGAGAAGGGCTGTAACTTCTCATTGCAAGCACTAAGCCAGGAACAAGGCTTGCCTTCAACACAGCAAGTGGTTCCACACAGCTGCTGTCAGTTGAAGGCAACACCTGATGGAAGTGAGACAAATGATGAGTGAGGAAGAAGCAAAGCCAGCTTCAGGTGTGGAGGCTGACCCAAACCTGCTCTTGAAACAGGAATGGAAAAGGGAGGTGATTCTCCCCTTGTACTCTGCATCTTGTGCATCCACCTCTGGGGCCCCCAACATAAGAAGGATGTGGAGCTGTTGGAGTGAGTCCAATGGAGGCCACTAAGATGCTCAGAGGGCTGGAGCACCTCTGCTATGGAGACAGGCTGAGAGCTGGGATTGTTCAGCCTGGAGAAGAGATGTCTCTGGAGAGATCTCAGAGCAGCTTCCAGTGCCTAAAGAGGCTGACAAGAAATCTGGAGAGGGGTTTTTGACACGGGCATGTAGGTATAGGACAAGGGGGAATGGCTTTAAACTGACAGAGGGGAGATTTAGATATTAGGAAGTTCTTTCCTGTGAGGGTGGTGAGGCACTGGCAGAGGTAGTCGTGAGGAATAAACAGATTTAGTGTGTCCATGAAGTGAACCTAGAAAGGAAGTGGATAGAGATGCATGATTGCAACTGAAGGCTCATGAAGTCTTGTGTCCCATGGAGCTGCACTGTGGGGATGCAGGAAGGCACCAGCCCCAAACTCCAGCTGCAGGAGCCTGCCAGCTGCAGGAAACATCTCAGATCAAAGGGCAGGGGAAATTCAGAAATTTGTATACTCAAACTATGAATCATATAAGGAAGAAATCTAGAAAGAATACACACTGCTTCTTATGGTTGCATTCAGCTTCTGGAGGCATTGGAAAGAGAGTGAATGGCACAGAACGTGCATCGGGGGGGGGGGGGGGTTAAAAAAAAAAAAAAAAGAAGCATACCAAAAAGGACCTGTGCAACTGTGAGCTAGTAATTTATCCCCCATTTAAATCAATTTTCTTTCTGAATAATAGAGATAACAGTACTGCAAAACTGTACACTGCAAAGATAAGGACCAGAGATTCTGAGGTCTGCAGGCAGGCTGATAAGATAGGCTGTATCAGTACCCCAGATGGAAAGATACCTTAAAATAACCTGATTCATCCTCTCCTCTGGCATTTTGCAACACAACCAGCGTTTGCCACATTGTAAGCCATCCAATGTATTATTATGGTTTACTGTATTTATTAATGTTCTTGCTACTGGAAACAGGGAAGGAGAGAGGAGGGACAAGGCCATCTATTAAACAAATCATTTCATGGGCAAGGCCATATAAAAGAAACCTAGCTGCAGCTTTCATGTATCACATTTGACTGACAGTGCTCGAGACAGTGTGCTCTCACAATTTATTTCTCTGCCCCCAGCACAGTGGTTATGGCTATGGGTCCCCCCTTAACTCAGATGCTGATTCTCTACTGTTTCATTAGGAAGAAGGACAACACTTAATTTTGCTCAGGGAGGGTTTTATTGCAGGGTTTCTCTTTTTTTATACCTACCTATTTATTTTCACAAACTCGCAGGCACTTAATTAACTTCAAGATGTCTATGCTGCTGTCAA